AATTATTAGAGGTAGACCTTAAAAAAAATAAATAAAGAACAACCAAAAAAATAAATAAAATTTCTGTTACTCATGACATCATCTGTTCTTCTCTAAGCAAAAAAAGACAAAAAAAAAAAAAAGAACATAAAAAAATAAACAGCAAGAAAAGGGAACAGAAAAATTTTGAATAAAGTTTCAAGTACCTATGACAATTCTCTATTTCTTCTCTGGAATCAAAAGGTTAAATACCTTTTTTGGCCCTTCTATTATTGAAAAAAGCTCTTTTTTCATTCCTATACTGAAAAATCCTCTTTTTAGTCCTCAAATATTGAAATTCAGCCTTTTTTTGGTTAAATGCTTAATTTGGTCCCTTAACTTTATAAAATTAACATTTTTGGTCCCTTAACAATTTTTTGCACTTTTTGGATCCCTCAACTATACAAAATGCACTCCGTTAGTCCTTCTGTTAATTTGGGCCGTTAACCCTGCTTAGGTGGCATTTTTTATATTTTTTTTTGATGATGTGGAGAGCAAAACTTCAAAAAATGATGACATGCATAAAACTTGTGCCATGTCACATGCTACCTGGCAAAAACGCACCAAATTCATCCAAATGGGTCCCACATCACCACTAACAATTGCTTCTTTGCCCATCGGTTACTGTTTCTATTCTTTCCGGTGTTCTTTCCATTTTCAATATTGAAGTTCGACAGGGTATTCTTTCCATTTTCAAGATTGAAGTTCGACAAAACCCAGCTCGATTCATTTCTTTCCATTTTCAAGATTGAAGTTCGACAGAACCTAGCTCGATTCATTTCTTTCCATTTTCAAGATTGAAGTTCGACAGAATCTAGTTCGATTCATTGAACTCAATTGTCCAAAAATATCCCGCAACAACTTGCAATTTGGAAATCTCTTGGCAAACAATCATATAACAAAAAAAAAAACCCAAAAATCCCTCACAACAACCTGCAATTTGAACAATCTCTTGGCAAACAATCATATAAACCAAAAAAAAAGTGGATCTGGGTTGTGGGTTCGGTGGAACCCAGTTGCTGGGTTTGACGGAACCCGCCTGGGTTCCACCGAACCCAGCAGAGGGTTCAATGACCCGAGGAAGAAAGAAAAGGAAGAAAAAAAAAAGAAAAAGAGAAAGGAAGAAGATAAATGAATTATTTTAATTTATTTTTTTAAAATATAAATAGGAATAATGTGAGTTGGCATGAAAAAAAATTCCACGTCAACATGTTTTCAATTTGCTTTTGCCACGTCATCAAAAAAAAAAATAAAAAATGCCACGTGAGCGGGTTAACGATCGAAATTAATAGAAGGACTAACAGAGTGCATTTCATATAGTTAAGGGATCAAAAAAGTGCAAAAAATTGTTAAGGGACCAAAAATGTGCAACTCACTAAAGTTGAAGGATCAAATTTAGCATTTAACCTATATTTTTTGACAGGTGACAATTAATTAACGGAATTGTGTGATGTGGAATATTTATTTTGTAAAAAAAAAATGATGTAGATATATTTTTAAGTATACGTCAACAATTTCACCTTTCTAGCTTTTTTTTTTTGTTTTCTTGGGTTCACAACCCCAAGTCGTTGGGTGGAACCCAGGTCACACTTGGGTTCATCTCCAACCTAGGTTCGTCGCAAACCCAAGCACAACCTGGGTTCACATATTTTTTTTTTTTGGGTTCACAATGAACCTAGGTTGTGCCTAGGTTCATTGCGAACCCAGGTTGCGAACCCAACCTGGGTGGGTTCATGACAAACCTAGGTTGCACTTGGGTTCATTGCGAACCAATGTCACAAACCCATGCACGACCTAGGTGGCCAAGTACAACCTGAGTTAGTTACAAAACTCAAAAAAAAAAAAAAAAAAA